ACACAGGAAATAACCCCAAACAATAAAATTTACCTGTCAAAATTTATGCTGTCAAGTCAAAAAACTTTTTGTGTATGTATGTGATCTTACTAACAAGCTACTTCATGAAAAAATATTTCTGAAAGCCTTCTTTTACAAGTTCATACAGTTATTAAAGAGGTGTTTTTTTGTAAAGGAATTTAAAAATCTTGACTGGACACAGAGTAATTATTAGAAAGGCAACAAAGAAGATTTTTATTTTTTTTTTATTTTTGCTAAAACACAAAATATCCTGTTGGCAATGATGTCCAATAAAACTGATGCTGAAGATGGTTTTACAAAAGGTACAGAAGAGGAAAAATGGCTTGTTCCCAGGAGAACTGTCACCAGTGGTGCACTGAGAGCTAGGGGAGGAGGACCAGAGACAAGTTGGAGAAAATAACCAATCCATAAAGAATTCCCAGGCAGTGTAAATCTATAACGTTATTCTGCATGCCAGGGAGTGGTATTACAGTTTTAAAACATGTACTTGGGTTTGGACTTTGAAACATAAATCTAGGAAGGGACATGAAGGACGGCAGGAGGGAGGTGGGGCTGAAGGCTGGGGGCCCAATCCGAAGGCTGTTTCAAGTACCCGAGCAACTGACAGGGCGGGGGGGGTGAGGGGAAAGACCCACGGGGTCAATGGAGATGAGAAATGGGACCTATTCCAGGAGCGTTTAATTTAGATGAGCAAAGCAGGACGCGGTGACAGCGGGAGGCGGGCGAGAGCCGGCGGGAGCGCTCAGCATACGCCCCTGGCAGGTGCCGGCCACGCGTGCACCGCGGGCCTAACAGGCCGGCCGCGCCGCAGGACTGGGAGCGGACGAGGGAACGCGGCCGGCGCCACGGCTGTTTCCACGGCAACTGCCTCCTCCGAGCCCCGGCACCCTCCTCCATCACAGGACCATTCAGAATGTCCACGGGGATTCGGTACTTGCTGGCTGCAGTCAAGTCGGATGGGCCCGGCTTACAGTAAGAAATAGGGGCGCTCCGGGGAGGGTGCGGGGAGACGGGGACTCTGGGTCAGAGGGATCGGGGGTCGCGTCGGAGCCCGAGGCGCCAGCTTCCTTCCCAGACGCCGCGGACTGGAGCTGCCTGGAGGAGGGCGACCCGAGGGCAGCTCCCCGCCCCGCACTCGCCACGGGCCCGCTCCCGCACCGACGTCAGCGGAGGACCGCCCGCGGCCTCCGGGAGCGGGCCGCCGCCGGCGCCGCCCGCCCGCCCGCCCCTCGGTTTACCTGCACGTAGTCCGCTCGGTGCAAATGCAGATCCATGACGCGGCAGGGACGCGCCGGGCAGAGATGCCAAACCCCAGGCCTCCGAGGGAAACAGCCCGACAGCTCAACGCGAGTCCCTGGGAGGGGCGACCCCGGCCCAGCGGCCGCAGGGGGCGGGGGGAGGGATGCAATCACGGGCCTCGGCTACGGCGTCCGGTGTGACGTCAACACGCTCATGCGAATGGGCCGCCAACGGAAGGAAAGCCCTGCCCACTTCCCAGCCTGCTCCAATCAGAGGCGAGAGGGGCTGAGTGTGACAGGGTGGTTTCCGGGGAGACCGGAGACGCAGTCTTGGCTCCACCCCACCGTTGCCCTGAGCTGCACTTTTTAAAGTCTTTTTGAATGAAAAGGACCGATGTGAAGACCTATTTCTCCGACATTGGAAAGGATCCCTCAACGAATGTTCACCGTTATAGGCGTTAGCTTATTGCAGCAGTTCTCAAACGTTTGGCTTTAGGATCCCTTTACAATATTCTTACAAACTTTTGAGGGCCCTACAGATCTAGAAATTAGAAATTGGAACTGAAACTTTAAAAAATGTTTAAAAATAAAATCATTAAATATTTTTATAAAAATTAACATTTTCCAAAACTATTTACTGTCCACGAGGATAGTAAATAGATGGAGTCCCAATTCTACCTCTGCTTTCAATCTATTTGGTATATGTGTGTGGGTTCTGTTTGTTTGTTTTGTTTTTAATTATACTTTGCCATGTTTGCATTGGACAAATCTTTTTTAAAAATATATTTTATTGATTTTTTACAGAGAGGGATAGACAGTTAAGAAACATCGACCAGCTGCCTCCTGCACACCCCCTACTGGAGATGTGCCCGCAACCAATGTACATGCCCTTGACTGGAATCGAACATGGGACCTTTCAGTCTGCAGACCAACGCTCTATCCATTGAGCCAAACCAGTTTTGGCTGTGTGTGTGTGAGTGTGTGTGTGTGTGTGTTTTAAGTATATGAAGAAAATTTTATCCAAACTCAGCAAGTGGTAGTTTTTGAAAAGTTGGTTGCAATGTGGAATGTGGCTTCATCGTACAACATTCAAAAGTCCTATTTACTAATATCACCACGGATTTCATCAGAAAATATTTTAAGTATTGGAAAGCTGTCAACCTCAGATGGTGAATACAAATTTTGCAAAACTCTAACTTGTGAATAAAAGCTCAAATTTTAAACGGTAACATACCCATTGTTTTCCTTGAAATGATAGGTTTACTTCTTCAATTCACAACAAAGTGAATTGAATCCAAATATCCAAATCCAAATAATCATAATTTGTTAATTGTGCTTTCAAAAAAAATGTTTCATGAAAAAAAATAATGAGTTCAGACACCAGTGCTTTTCCTTGAGAGAACTCATGTACTTTGTTATTCAATAGAAATGATGCATGCATATTGACCATATCATCACATAGAATACTTAAAGACACTCAAGAATGAAGACTTGCCGAAACCGGATTGGCTCAGTGGAAAGAGTGTTGGTCTGCGGACTGAAAGGTCCCAGGTTCAATTCCAGTCAGGGGCATGTATCTTGGTTGCTCTTGGTTGCAGGCACATCCCCAGTAGGGGGTGTGCAAGAGGCAGATGATAGATGTTTCTCTCACATCGATGTTTCTAGCTCTCTATCCCTCTCCCTTCCTCTCTGTAAAAAAATTAATTAAAAAAAGAGTGAAGACTTAAAGTGAACAATTTTTACTGTTTCATAATGCACATTTTTATATGAAAATTATTCATCGTGCCCACATTTTGTTTCCTGACAATGTGGGCACGATGAATAAGAGACTACTGCTATAGTTTGAAACCACTGCTTTGACTCATGCTTAAGAACCAGCAGTTTTAACCTCCCAAGGCTTTTGTATCATCAGTGCAAATGTCAACACAGTGAAAAAGGCAAATAACATTTTAGTGTTATGGAAAATACAGTTTCAAAATCAGAGACCTCCTGAAAAGGCCATAGGAATCCTCAAACTACTGCTGACCTATGGGACCCAGGATCTGACCAGAGCTGACATTCCTTGACTCCTGTCCATCAGTCCTTCCTTATGCACACAGTGTGCTCCACCTCCAGAAAGGTGAATAAGATACTGTACCTTCCCTCGTTCCTGTAAACTGCTAGGGAAGAGTTCACAAATGATTGTGAGTCAAGAATTAGCCCTAGGTGGTTTGGCTCAGTGGATAGAGCACCAGCCTGCCACTGGAGGATCCCGGGTTTGATTCTGGTCAAGGCCACATGCCCAGGTTCGGGATCATCTCCAGTAGGGGTTGTGCAGGAGGAAGCTAATCAATGATTTCTTCTCATCATTGATGTTTCTAGCTCTTTCTACTCCCCCTTCCTCTCTGAAATCAATTAAAAAATATACTTTAAAAATAATAAAAACATATTGATTTAAAAAAATTAAACCCCGAGCCTGATCGGCGTGGCTGAGCTTTGACCTATGGATTTGGAGATCACAGTTCAATTTCCTATCAAGGCATATGCCCACGTTGTGGGCTTGATCCCCAGTGTGGGGTATGCAGGAGGCAGCTGATCAGTGATTATCTCTCATTATTGATGCTTCCATCTCTCCCTCTCCCTCTCTGAAATAAATAAAATTTGACTGGAATTGAACCCAGGACCCTTCAGTCTGCAGGCTGGTGCTCTATCCACTGAGCCAAATCAGCTAGGGCTATATATATATATATATATATATATATATATATATATATATATATATATATATATATATTTTTTTTTTTTTTTTAAAGAAACCCCTGAGAGTTGCTTCTTAGAAAGATAAATCATTTCCAACAGAAGAATCTGAGGTTTTGCCCAGGTTACAAGCTGTCCCCGGTCATTCTTTTTCTGAGACTAATATAACCACGTTAAAATAAATAGTAATACCTTGAGATAGGTTAGCTCTGTAACAATTTGGGAGAATATATATTAATTTAGATTCAACAAAAATACAGATAAATTTTAGAAGTAAATTGAAAAATAGACATAGAGGAGATAGGATAAAGCAGAATTGTATGGAATTTAGGGGATTGGAAGGTGTATTAGAAAGATAAGGACACCATAACAAAGGACCACCAGCTGGATGGCTTCAACAACAGAAATTCATTTTTTTACAGGATCTCACTGGCCAGGAGTACAAGATCAAGATGTCGGGAGGGAACCGAACCGATCTCCTGAGGTCTCTATCTTTGGCCTCTAACCTCTATCCTCTAGCCATCTTCAAACTGTGACCTCACCTGTCTTCTTTCTTCGTCTGGGTCCTAATATCCTCTCCTAATAAGGGCACCTGTCCTATCAGAGTAAGCCATACTCTAGTGACTTCATTTTAATGTAATTATCTCTTAAAGCCCTATCTCCATATTCAGTCGCATTCTGAGGTCCTGGGGTTAGGACTTCAGCAAGTGAATCTGGGGTGGGGGGAGGGCACATACAATTCAGCCCATAACAGAAAGGAAGGTACCTAATCTGTGTGGAGAGTTCTACAGTTGTGGGAGGCAGAACTTAAACAATGCTGTTAGCTGTATCTTTATTCAAGACTCTGAGAACCCTACGCCAAATGTCTCCAGCTGAATCTGACACATTTCCCCAACCCCCAAATGGGAATATTACTAAATATTCCATTTAAGACGTCCACACTTACAGTCCTAGATAAGTCTGTAAAATTGAGAGTATTGTTGTAATATAGTAGAGAAACATATAACAATGAAAAAATTCAATATTTTATTCAGTTCTGAGGCATAACATTAAATACAGAAAGTCTGAAAAACATTTAAGACAAAGTACTATTAGAATAGCATAAAAGTTAGTGAAATAGTCTACAATGGTAGCAAAAATGTATAAAGTTCTCTTTTTAATTTGTTTAAATCCCAAGAAGTAGAAATTAAATCATATTTAAAGAGTTTTATGTGGTTCTACTTAATGCTCGTTTTGTCTTCATGTCTAGAAAGCCTTGCTGTGTGAGAGCAATGAACTTAAAGTATCATCTTTTAAACCATGTCTAGGGCCTATAAAACTACCTTTGAGTTTGGTCACAATTCCTATTCCTCTCAGTCTTAATGCAAACAGATGGAACAGGAGGTTAAGCATAACTCTATAAGCCATTTAAGCCTAACTGCAGTAATGCAATTGAGTGTTTCATGGTCTGTGAAGAGATGAGGGAACTTACTGGCCTGCTAAAGCCCTGAGGCATTGTAGATATTACCAGCATTCAGCTCAGTTACACACTAAGCCGAGAAGATACATCACAACCTGTTTTGTGTAAAAAATATAAGCTCAACGTTTTGATCAGATAAATGATGCCAAGCATTGTGAGCAATGGCAAGGAGAGGCCTCCAAGGGCACTGACATCCACCCGCTGATGGTTGGACAAACCGCTCCAGGTCCACAGCCACTGCTCTGTCCTATTTCTTCCCGGAAGCATGCCCTCCAAAACGCAGAGGCAGAAATCAGGAGGTTATAACAAAATAACAACCCTACACAGCCCCCTTAAAACAATTCCCTGTCCTGTGACTAAATTCACATGAAAAACAACAAATGAAAATCTAAGACAGAAAACAGTCTATCCTTTAGAAAAATCTTTAATAAGTTACTTTGAGCAATTCTATGAAACTTCAACATGATGATATTTTCTATTAATCCATTTCATGGTTAAATTCTTCCCCAGGCTCAAAGGTTCTAGGATTATTGGTGATGCCAAAAATTCTAAGAAAATCTGATCAAGTCATAGCTGCTTATCAGTTGTTTTCAGTTTCTATTAAAAAAAACAAACAAAACAAAAAACGCTTCAGCACTTGGACAAGAGAAGGTGTGCTACATAGTTTTGGCCTTTATTTGTATTTGTACTTTGTTGGCAGTTCAGTGCAGGTGGTTTCAACAACATTTACTTCGCGCTCCTTTGTACCAGGCACTGTACTAGATGCTGAGACACAAAGATGAGTAAGACATAGTCCTGTCCCCAAGGAGCTTACTCACAGTAAGATGTAGTAGAGTTCACTCTAAAATAGACAAAAATGGCAACCATTGGGCCTTCCCATACAATATCATGTCGTCGTTTGTAATGCCAAGGCAGACAAGGCCAATGAAGATCATGTACATGTGATAAAACAGTAAAATCATGAAGACTTAACTTTCAAAAGATTCACATGATAAAGGTAGGTAACACTAAACATGTACACTATGGTTTTTCAAGTACTTCATACTTAGAAATATTATTGCCCACATTTGCACGATAGTCCAAGCAGCAGTCCAGGCTCAACGTCACTCACACCTCAGCGAGCTGGGGCTCAGCTTCTCGCTGAGCTTGTGAATTAGCATGGCCAGCTCCTCTGTCGCCTGGCTCTTGTCCTCCAACAGTTCATAACGAAGGCTGGAGATATCTTGCTTGATTTCTTTTAGTTCGCCTGAAGTATGGGTATGAAAGAAACACATAATTGGTCATTTTCTCTTTGGATTTAGAAGAGGACAAAGAGTGAAATTCCTATGATATAAATACATTTGCCCCATAACGTCACCAAAATAGATTTTCCCCTTTAAAACATGTCTGTCTTTAAAAATATGGTGACCTTTGTAAAAAGCTATAAAAGTAGTCCAGCTGTTTTTAAATAGGAAAGCGGATATCGTCCTGTGGCTCAGCCAGCGTTGAATTTGGGGTGGCTTCCCTCTCATCTGTCCTAGAGGCAGGGCCTCCTTCCCGTCTATAGGAAGGCTCTTGGGTTCCCTCAGCCATGCAGGTCGGCTACAGAGATACTCTCCAGTGGCCAGTGTGGAAGGGAATCCCAGCAAAACAAAATGCTATTAACAATGAATCAATTTATTTAACAGGCAAAGCCATGGAAGAAGTAAATGTAGGTCCAGGTTGAAGCAAGGGAAAGAAAGGAAAAAGAAGGAGCCTAAGTGTTTATTAGGGAAGGCCATGGCAACGAACGTGGTGTCAAGGAACAAACAGATCAGTCTGTGGTGCACAGAGGGTGGGCACGGAAGGAAGTGAGGAGCAATGGTGAATTAATGTTCGGCCAGGGCAACACTTGGCTGTGTGGGCATCATGGGCGTCTCTACAGCAGATTTTTGGCAATTAAAACACAACAGTTCCCAGAACTCAGCTTGGCAGTATTTGGAGCATTTGTCGATTGCAAAGAAAAACTGGATTCTCTTGCAAATAATTGCAATGGAGATAAGCCCTTAATCTTGAAAGTGGAACCATGAAGCAGCAATTTATCTCAAATCATTTCAGCAATCCAAGAAATTATTCTTCAAATTATTGGCATTTTAACAGCTTTTTAAAATATATATATATATATATATATATATATATATATATATATATATGTATATATATTATTGATTTTTACAGAGAGGAAGGGAGAGAGAGAGTTAGAAACATTGATAAGAGAGAAACATAGATCAGCTGCCTCCTGCCCACCCTCTACTAGGGATGTGCCTGCAACCAAGGTACATGCCCTTGACCGGAATCGAACCTGGGACCCTTCAGTCCACAGGTCGGCACTCTATCCAGTGAGCCAAACTGGTTTCAGCACTTTAACAGCTTTTTAATGAGAATCACATGTAAAGCCTACCTTTCACGATCTTTCCTGGTATCTTTATGATGTTTTTAAAGTACCATTTCTACATTCATTATTTATATAAAGGTCAGAATCTTTTCATTTTTTTAATTTTATTTATTTATTTATTTATTTATTTATTTATTTATTTATTTATTTATTTTTAGGAATTCTAACTCCAGAACCCTAGTGAACCCACAATATCCTCCCTACAGTATCCTTCTCCCTCTTTCTGAGTTACGGGGCACTGCACACTAAGTGTATTCAGTCTGCCAACTAGGGGAAACAAATTACCCAACCTCTTTTGACTTTAGTTTCCTCATTTATAACAGGAGTTGGTTCCACTATGTGATACACTTTCTTAGTTAGAACCTGGTTCACAGCGCCAATTCTCCTTCACCCATGTGCAGGCTGTGGGAGACAGCTCCTTGTTTCTGATGCTGCCTCAGCCACCCCGTTCCCCAGCACCTAGCTTTGTTTTGCTTTCAGGGAGTGAAGGAACTGATCAATTTCCCAGTCCAGCCCTGCCTCCATCACACTCTCTAGGTCCCCCTGACTGGATTTTTGCTGGCTATCATTCACATCTCTTCAGATTTTTTTTTACAGACACATGCCACAGGATTGACTCAGATTTGCAAGGTTCCTTTCCTTAATCAAATACTGGTTTCAAAGCTCAGCAACAGTTTTGTTGAGTTTAACTTTTTCTTTTCTTTTTTTCTTAACAGTGCCAATAGGTCTATTTGCATCTGACTGGTGTTGCAAACTATAGATTTGAACTCATTGTTCCAGGTTGATTTCTTTTCAACTCCAGGCATTGGCCTACACCCCAGCCTTCGATGAAAACATTTCTAGTACACAACGGATGCGCTGCCTAGGATTTACCTGGAAAAGTAGGCACGTTGAAGTAAGGAGCCAAGGAAAAACGTGGAAGGCAAGAGAAAAACAGATGGGAAAAATGGGCTAGAGGTTTCTTTTTGGACAACAAAATAAAGATCTGTCTGAAGAAGTGTGGGTTCTGTCCCAGCAACCACTATTTCACTTGCATCACTGGGGAAATGTTAACACTTGTGTGAACTCACTGAAACTCCCATCTTACGTTAATAGGAAATTGAAAGAAAGACGGCAGTCTTCACATTCTAAGAATCAGGGCATTTGGAGTAGAGATAAATTGTCGCTGACTGACATTTTAAAAACTGTTTCTTTAAAATGACAGCATTTTAGAAATGTAAGGTAAGATTCTCCTGTCAATCTTGGAAGGACCCAACCTGCTCCCTGAGATTGGATTTTAAAGGATCCTTCACTGTGCTGTTTCCCAAGTTTGTGCACTTAGTTGTCAAAGGATGTTTCTCGGTTCGGGGATGCTTACCTTCATTCACTTCATCATTCTCTTTGTCTACTTGGGCTTTCAAAACATACCGCTTTATGAGCCTTTTCATTATCTGCTGTTGGGAAAGAAGAAATGATTCTGTCACCAACGGCACCCTGCTCTCCAAGGAGCTTTACATTCCTGCAAAGCAAGCAGGCCAGGGGGGAGGTGTTTTATGTGACTGTTTGCAGAAGAACCCCAGGTTTCCCACCTTTTACTGAGACTGACTGCCCATGCCATCCCACCCCAGGGACAGAAGGAGCTTCACACACGGTTCAGGTGGAAGAGTTCAGTGCATAGTTTCTCTTTCCAACACAATTTATCTCTAAGTTGTGATGACAATACATTGTCATCTGTAGACATTACCTTGTTTCTCATTGCTGTGGTTCCTGTTTTTAAACAAAACCAAATCTATGCTCAATAGGGAAAACTTAGAAAATACAGAGAACAACAAAGAAATACACAAATTCATCAACTATCCCACCATCCGAAGAGAATCTCTGTTGGCATTTTGGCATATGTCCTTCCAATACCTTTTTTTTAAGTGTTGTACATATACTAATCACTATAGAGATTGTGTTTTATGTTTTTTAAATACCATATATTCTGTTATATTGTATGCTTGCCTCTCCTAGCAATATATAGTGTAAATATACTCAATCTAAATATATGCTCTTGCAGGATAATTGTTTTCCTATATGGAAAAAAAATCACACTGGAGCCCTACTTCCTATCATACGCACAAAAAATTAATTCCACATGCATCTTAAATGTGAATTCCACATGCATTTCAAATTCCTCAAAAGACAGTATAGGAGAATCTGTTTGTAAATTCAGTATAGAGCTGTGAGTTTTTCAATAAGATAAAAATTCTAATTACAATAGAAAGGATTAATAAATTCAACTTCATTACAATGAAAACTTCTGTTAATAAAGATACCATGAAGAAAGTAGAAAGTCAAGCCACAAACTGGGAGAAAATATAGGCAACACTTGTGACTGATAATGAATTTGGATCCAAAATATATGAAGAACTTTAATCCAATATGAAAAACTCAACCCAACAGAAAAAATGGCAAAAGAGACATGTGCAGAAAAGGAACAGTGAATAGTCAATAAGCACATAAAACAATCCTCAGCTATTTTCTTGGGAAAAAGCAAATTACAATGAAAAGGAGATAGAATTTCACATCTAAAAAGGGAAAAATTAACACATCTTATAATGGCAAGTGTTGGGAAGGATAGGTATCAATGGAATTTTATACTTCAGAGCTTTTATACTTTTTATAAAATTTTATACTTTTTCAACCTTTTTCATCTCATGGAGCACATAAAATAATAACCAAAATTACTAAAATAGGTATGATTTTGACTCATCACACTGGAGCCATACTTCAGACCAGGCACACAAAAATTAATTCCACATGCATCTTAAATGTGAATTCCACATGCATTTCAAATTCTTCAAAAGACAATATAGGAGAATAAGTTTATAAATCCAGTGTAAGTGTTTCAGTGAGATAAAAACTTTTGATTTTATTGTTTTGCTATTATTGTGTTGGCTATTATCATTTTTTAATTTGACAATATGAGGGGAAGGACACCAGTGCCCTGACTAAGTAGTCAGGTAGTCCATGTTTTACTGAGTCTTGCGGCACACGGGTTGAAAATCGCTGCTTTAGAGGCATGCGTATAAATAGACCATTTTGACAAACACTGGCATTTTCTTTTGGAGTTGAACTTTTGCATGCATAGCCTTTCACTCAGAAAGTCTGTCTAGACCTTCGTCTAGTATGTAAAGAAGCTTCATACATGTATGTGGACCAAGAGGCATAAATAACGTTTATTGTAATCTTGTCCAAAATAGCAAAATAAAACAAAAAACTGAAGACAATCAAAACAAGTATCAATAGGAGACCAGACAAATCACGGTAAGTTACACAATATAATGTCATTGTGGTCACTAATAAAATTGATGAGCCATAGCCACACACAACAATAAAGATGAATCTTAGAAGCATAAATGTTGAATGGAAAATTCAAACTGAATTCACGAAGTATGAAATAATTCTATAAAGCTCAATGTATTTTTGGGATTATCTATATGTGCAATAAGCCTATATTTGAAAAGAAAACCAGAGTGAGAAACCCCAACTTCAGGCTAGAATTACCTGGCGGCAAGGTGTGGGCCAGGGACCAGATCATGTTGTCAGGTAGGAGGTGGCTTCATAGGTGTGTGGGTAGTTATACCTCATAACTTATTATATGACACATATTCTTCTGAACATATCAAATGTCACAAAAGATAATGAAGAGAAAAATTGCCTGAACTAAAGTGCAGGTACAGTAGGCCTTCCTTTATCTGTAGGGGATTGCTTCTAAGGCCTCGCACTAGATACCTGAAATCACTAAACTGAATATATACTGTTTTCTCCTACACATAAAAACCTATAATAAAGTTTAATTGATAAATTAGGCAATTTCACTGAGAGAAGACTCATTCTTACCGTTGACCTTAGCAACCCCAGCATATGACATATTTTCTTTACTTATTAAGTGGAGAACTTCCATATTTTCCCTTACCAGCTTCTCTCTGTCATATCCAATTGCTAGCATCACTACTATTGCACTTTGGGGCCGTTATAAAACCAAGGGTGACTTGAACACAGGCACTGTGGCACCTCCACAATCCATCTGATGACTGTGGATTAGTCAATCCACTAAATGACTTATGGGTGAGAGGTCTATCCTGGACAAAGGGCTGAGTGATGTCCTGGTTGGGACAGAGCAAAATGGCAAGAGAGTTCATCATGTTAGTAAGAAAACACACAATTCAATTTATGATTTGTTTATTTCTGGAAATTTCCATATAATATTTTTGGATTGCAGTTGACGGCAGGCAACTGAAATCTCAGAAAGTGAAACCATCGATGAGGAGGAATACTGTATTGGGAGAATGAAAAATATGCCTCAGGTTTAAGGAAGCAGAAATTATGAACCTAAGTGATCTGTTAGAGGCCAAGGTCAAGTAAAAGGATCTGGGTTGACCCAAAGGATCTGTAACAGAGAATAATGACAGATCAAGAGGTGCTCATGCTATGGAGCAGGAAAAGCCCACCTTATCAGCCACAGTAAAATATAAAACCAGTTGGGCTCTGTGGACTCCAGACCCCAGAACTAACTCTGCGGCCAGTAGTGAGCCTGGTAGTGAGCCAGGTAGTGAGTCAGGTAGTGAGCCAAGAAGTGAGCCTGGTAGTGAGTCAGGTAGTGAATCAGGTAGTGAGCCTCGTAGTGAGTCAGGTAGTGAATCAGGTAGTGAGCCTCGTAGTGAGTCAGGTAGTGAATCAGGTAGTGAGCCTCGTAGTGAGTCAGGTAGTGAATCAGGTAGTGAGCCTCGTAGTGAGTCAGGTAGTAAGCCTTGTAGTGAGTCAGGTAGTAAGCCTCATAGTGAGTCAGGTAGTGAGCCAAGTAGTGTGTCAGATAGTGAATCAGGTAGTGAGCCTCATAGTGAGTCAGGTAGTGAATCAGGTAGTGAGCCTGGTAGTGAGTCAGGTAGTGAGCCAAGTAGTGAGTCAGGTCGTTAGCCAGGTAGTGAGCCTGGTAGTGAGTCAGGTAGTGAATCAGGTAGTGAGCCTGGTAATGAGCCAAGTAGTGAGTCAGGTAGTGAGCCAGGTAGTGAGCCAGGTAGTGAGTCAGGTCGTTAGCCAGGTAGTGAGCCTGGTAGTGAGTCAGGTAGTGAGCCAAGTAGTGAGTCAGGTCGTTAGCCAGGTAGTGAGCCTGGTAGTGAGTCAGGTAGTGAATCAGGTAGTGAGCCTGGTAATGAGCCAAGTAGTGAGTCAGGTAGTGAGTCAGGTAGTGAGCCAGGTAGTGAGTCAGGTAGTGAGCCAGGTAGTGAGTCATGTCATTAGCCAGGTAGTGAGCCTGGTAGTGAGTCAGGTAGTGAGCCTGGTAGTAAGTCAGGTAGTGAATCAGGTAGTGAGTCATGTCATTAGCCAGGTAGTGAGCCTGGTAGTGAGCCAGGTAGTGAATCAGGTAGTGAGTCATGTCATTAGCCAGGTAGTGAGCCTGGTAGTGAGTCAGGTAGTGAATCAGGTAGTGAGTCATGTCATTAGCCAGGTAGTGAGCCTGGTAGTGAGCCAGGTAGTGAATCAGGTAGTGAATCAGGTAGTGAGCCTGGTAGTGAGTCAGGTAGTGAGCCAGGTAGTAAGTCAGGTAGTGAACCAGGTAGTGAGTCATGTCATTAGCCAGGTAGTGAGCCTGGTAGTGAGCCAGGTAGTGAATCAGGTAGTGAGCCTGGTAGTGAGTCAGGTAGTGAATCTGGTAGTGAATCAGGTAGTTAGCCTGGTAGTGATCCTGGTAGTGAGCCTGGTAGAAAGCCAGGTAAGTGAGTCAGCTAGTGAGCTAGGTTGTGAGCTTAGTAGTGAGTCAGGTAGTGAGCCTGGTAGTGAGTCAGGTAGTGAGTCAGATAGTTAATGTGTAGGGAGTTAGATTGTGAGCCTGGTAGTGAGCCAGGTAGTGAGCAAGGGAGTCAGGATGTAACAATGAACACAACCTTTACTACAGTGAACTTGACTGGAACAGTTCACACTGACGGGTGAACTTATCAGGGGTAAAATTAAGTTTCGGGGGTAGTGTAGGCAGATTCCTATAGAAAGAAAGGTATATGAGTTAATTTAGCTTGAAGAGTAAACTATTTTCAACAAATAGTGCTGAGACAATGAACTATCTCTGTGGGAAACTTAAATTTTGGTCTCTACCTGGCACCATATGCCAAAAAGAAAAAGGAGCCAAATGGACAAAAGATCTAAATGTGGATTAAGCTGCCACTAGCAATTGGGGGCAGCCACTGCTCCTCAGGGCTTGGTGACAGTCATAAACCAGTACTGGACTCACACATACTGCCTCCTTATCCCCACCAGGAAAAAGGCTGAGGCATGGGAGGGGGGACAGAGGTTATTCTCTCCCTTCCCTGTGGAAAGAAGAGGGTGTCCCTCAGCCAAGGGAAGGGGGAGATACAAGGCAATTATTCATAGAGATCAGGGTTGCCTAAACAAAAGGGAGCCAGGCATCCCGTCC